GGCCACCCTGACTAATGGCAGCACAGGTAAGGGGCGCTTGCGGTGCCGCCAGGAACGTTTCCCTGGACGGCTGCCGGAGCCCTCACCCCAGCGCCCCGGCCCCAGCATTCTGAGGCCTACGTTTGCGGAGCGATTTCTAACAAGGTCGGCCGTGGGTGTCTGAAGCGTACCCCCCAGTCCCTCACACAGGGTGACACAGCTCCTGGGTGGCAGCAGCTGCGTAAAACAGGCCCCCGGGCTACTCACCGAGAGGCTGAGCCTGTCCCCAGAGCCCGCTGCCTGCTGGGCGGACTCCAGGGAGGAGCCCCCCACTTCTCTGGGCTCTGACGGATGGAGGGGTTCTCCGTCCTCCAGACTGGCTTCCCTCCTGGCTCTTTCATACCAGGACTCGGGGGCCTCTCCCTCCTTGTCCACGTCCGTGCGGCTGGTGTCTGAGTAGCTCAGGTCCAGGGAGCTGACTTTCAGCTCGGAGGACGTGGCGTCCGTGTCAGACTCCAGCTCGGCTTCGGACTCCAGCTCCTCTCCCGCTTCCGCGGCCTCGGCTTCCCCTTCCCCTCCGGCCTCAGCGCCCCCTTCCAGCGAGGCCTCCCCGAGGCTGGGGGCCTCCCTCTCGGAAGCCTCCGCAGCGTCAGCATCTTCATTTCTCTGGTCGCTGCTCTTCTCCGTCGTTGACACCTGCAGCCGTGCGGCAGGGAGAAAACATCGGGAAGCGAAGCGTGAGGGGCCCGGCGAGGTTTTGCTCTCAGCAGTGGACTCAGGCCCGCGGAGAAACCGCGCCCGCGCACTTCTGAGCGGCGCTGGGAGATCCTTTCCTGCTTTAAGGTCTCTGCGCTCCCCTCTGTAAAATTATTTCTCGCCCTTCGTTGCAGGAAATGAATTGTGAGCAACTGGGGGGCGGGGGGGAATCTAAGAGCAGGTGCCCCGCATTCCCGCCCGGCCGCCCGCACTGTGGGGCGCGTGGAAGGAACCGGAGGCTCTGGCAGCTGGAGGGGGTCGGTTCCCAGGCCAGCTGCTCCCCTCTGGAGCCAGCCTCCATCTCTTTACTGCAACTCCCAGTGAACACAAGCCCAGACCACTCACCCCGGGGTCCTCGGGGGGCAGGTCCTGCTCTCCTTGCTCTCCTCCCGAGGCCGAGGCCGTCGGGGAGCCTGAGCCCCCTCCCCGCGGAGACCTGGTTGCAGAGAAACAATGTAACAGTGTCACTTAGGAACGTTCCCTCCCTGCCTGTACCACCCGGATGTCCCTACGCCTATTTATGTGCTTGTTAATCACCACCTTTGCCACTAACCCCCCCACACACACTAGATTGTGCCTGTCGGGTGGTGGGTGCCACCAAGGCGTGTCTCCATGAATGAGCCAATGGAAAATACGGTCATTGATTCATTACAAGGAGCAGCACAAGTAGGTTACGCCAGAAAAGTCACCTTAAATATCCCCGTGTCTGTGAGGACACTGGGGAAAAGAGATACAAAGTAAGAGGAAACTGCAGAAAAGGGGCGAACCCTCCGCGAATCTGGGTCGGATGGCGCGAGCATGTCCTGGTTACAAACTTACCGCTGCCCTGCTTTCTTCTCATTAAAAATTACAAGCTTATTAGTTTTTTAAGTCAAACGGAAACAGAAATGTGTGACACACGATAGAATCCCCTGTGACCTGTCCCCCCTTCTCAGGATAACCAGCGGTAGCAGTGAGATTCGGGGTACATTCTTTCCACGATGTTTCTTCCCGCTTCAACACCAGCGCGCGCTGGAAACTGGAGATCGGGCCGCGCGCGGTGGCATTTAGACTTTTCGCTGGATGTAACCGGGACTCCTTTCCGTATCAGCGCTCAAATTAAAAAAATGAAACGCTCCAGAAGGGTCTCGGGTGAAGGGCAAATGCTTTAATAGTGTCCATGCGTTTCAAAGAAGCGTCAGAGACGCGCCTGGTGGCACCATCTTTAGATCATAGCCCGAGGGACGCCCAAGCCCGAAGGGGGAGGCATGGCCCCTCCAGGAGGCGGCGAGGCTGGTCTGGTTTCCGACTCCCCGGGGCCACTGCAGGGGCCGCCCCCCGAGGACCGCCCCCCCC